CGGGCGAAACAAAAATGGAGTCCGGTCGGCTTACAAGACACTATTACTGATCCTGCTCGGCTTAAAGTCTCGTCACGGTGGAATCCGCTTATTCCCGCTTCCTTCTTCGAGATCGTGCTTTAAAAACCCAGGTCAGGATCCGCCAGATCACGGGGATATTCGTTACACGGCGAACAAAGTGAAACTTTGTGACGCGATACGTTTTTAAGGGATGCTGGATGGGAGGCGTCGACCAACCGCGAAGCCACCGACGAATTAATTCGCGCTAACGAAGGGACACGCAACCTTCAAGGTTCTAAAGAATCTCTTTCCTACATTCTTTTTTCGAATCAAATTTCAATTTGCAAAAGTATTTGATACGATCGCTCGTAATATCTTGCGAAGTAAACATTAAACAATTATATAGAAGTAGAAATTTATCGAACCCGTTGCCAATATTTAATTCAACTTTTTGATGAATTCTAAATTTATACTAGCTCGAAATGATTTTTCCTTTCTACGAGTTGAAATTATTAATTTTTAACGCTACAATGAGGAAAATTTCATATCGAGGGTTTTAGCGTGTGCAAACACATACACCGCGAACGGCAGCTAATTACATCATAATATCAACACTGTAAACAACTTCCCGTTAGTTGTCTGCGAGCAGAACAAATAGATAGGAGTGTTCTAATTGTATCACGATGCGCACGGGGGGCAAAGAAAATTACACCGCAGGAACGTCGTCAGGTGAAATTGCATCGCGACGCGGGAATATCGCCTCTGATGGAATTCTAAGGATGCTCAAATATCTACAGTGACTTGTTGTCGAGCTACGCGGGCACATTAATCGACACGGAACTTTAGATGACGTTTCTCGATAAATGAGGTGCGGAAAAACGGTAGCTGGAACTGATCGCAGGATACATCGTTTATCCCCAGCTGATAGATTTAAGACCGCCGTTGACATTCCCGCTGAAATATTACCAGATTTTGATAAAAATACAAGCGTCCGGAACCGACCCACGTCGATTAACTGTATTTGGTTTGAACCCACGAGTTCCAAAAAAAAAGAAGCTTTACGATTCTCTGAAAAATTAATCGGCCATATTCGAAATGGATTACGTTTTGTAGCTTTCATTTTTTTTTAATATAAAGTTCTGTGGCCACTATTGGAAACCCCTATAGTCGAGGGTTAACTGTATTTCATTTGAAAGCTCGAGTTGCAAAAAAGGAAGCTTTGCAATTTTTTGAAAAATTGATCAGCCAGATTTGGACTAGATTATTTTTTGTAATTTTTATTTTACTTCGATTCAAAATTTTATGGCCACTATAGGAAACCCCTATAGTCGAGGGTTGACTGTATTTCATTTGAAAGCTCGAGTTGTAAAAAAGGAAGCTTTGTAATATTCTGAAAAATTGATCAGCCAGATTTGGACTAGATTGTTTTTTGTAATTTTTATTTTACTTCGACTCAAATTTTTATGGCTTCGATTGGAACCCCTTATAGTTAAGGGTTAAGTCTATTTGATTTGATGACTCGAATTGCAAAAAAAGAAGCATTACACAATTTTCTAAAAATTTGATCGACCAGATTCAGACTGGATTATCTTTTGTAGTTTTCATTTGTTTTAAATTTAAAGTCCTGTGATTCTTATTGGAAATTATAGTGAAGGGTTAATTGTATTTGATTTAAAGACTCAAGTTGCAAACAAAAAGCTTTACAATTTTCTGTAAAATCGACGAACCACTAGTCTAGATTATCTTTTGTAGTTTTCATTTTACTTAAATTTAAAATTCTGTGTCCCCTATTGGAAGCCCCTATAGTTAAGGGTTACTGTATTTGATTTGAAGGCTCGAGTTGCAAAAAAGAAGACTGCGATGAGAGATCCGTATAGTTATTAATGATTAAGAAAGCAAACGAGAAGATCAAATTTAGCAACTTTTTTCCAGTTGTCGTCTTTAAATCACCCTCTCTATTTTACGATCGTTATAACACTATATTCGGCGCGTCCTCCCCGCCAGGATCCAATTATTTCAATCGTTTCCGTAACCCAACCTGTCGGCGCCTTTTTTAAGTCCCGAACGAAGGAACAGAAACGATCGAGGATCTCTCGACGACGACAAACGACTCCGTGTCCAGAGCAAACTCGATTACTCTTCGCCCGGTTAGTTGCTCGAGGTATCCGTCTTGCGCGGCTTGGGACTCATTACCGACGAGCTCGAGGGTGCACCAAAAGGTCGCGGAGACTTGCATAAGTCCAGATATTTTCGCAGCTCGAGGAAAGGATCGAAGGATAACACGGCCCGTGCAAGGGACTCGATAAACTCTCGTCCCTAAACCCGATCCCACGGAATGGAGAAACGAGGGGAATAAAACGAAAATGTCTCAGATTAACCCCCTCCGTGAAAATGACGAATACTCTCCATCGAACTCAACTTTCCCCGGATTACAACCCCCCCTGAAATATTTAAGCGTTTCGATTGGATATTTGGGAATAGGTCTTGATGATATGGGTAAACCTTGCACCACGAGTTTAAGAAAACTTGCAAACTATTTACTACCTTAGGCCTTTAAAAAATAAAATATATATTTATTCTCTACGTTTCGAAGGAAAGTTTGTAAATGAGATTGTCAATATAACATGTTTTCAGTGGTCCAATACAACTTTCGAAAGTTTTTCAAAATTATTAGAGAAACCTAAATCTATATATTAGACCAGTGTTCGAGCCCTGTTTATTTAGAATGAATTATGTGAATAATTTCCAACTGAATCGACTGTGATAAATGTAACAAAGGAACCGATTACTAGCACGATCAATTATTCATTCTGTAGTAGATTACAGTATTTACGAACCGAAATAATTAATTTCGGGTGTATACTGTTAATTAATACTTCCACATGCCTTCGAGCTGTCAAAACGAAAATATGATATTTAATCATTTTCATTGATACAAAAAATCCTCGTAATATTTCGGGACGCCAACTATAAAATATATGATATCTCTCTTACTTTCACAGCGAAAGTGTTTATCACAGAGTTTGTTGGAAATTAAATTAAGAAACTTGTTTGTTCCATACACAGACACGTTTAAACTTTATTTTGATTTCTTGTTGGAACGTAAGAAAATTTCACGTGAGGAAACCGTGGGTAATAGTTTGAAATAATTTTGTTTATCAGTGGAACCATATTCTACATCTTGAATGCAGTTAGCGTAACTATTAATGAAGAGATCGCAGAACCAATGGGTCACTGACACAAATAATCACTAAAAAATATATTTCTTTATCAATGACGTGAAACGACCAAATTTACAAAAACATTGGTGAAAGCAATGGTCGTACATTGATCTGGAATCTCCTCTGTTATTTCTAAAAAACATATTTCCTTGTCAATGACGTGAAACGAGTAAAATTGCAAAAACATTGGTGAGAATAATGGGCGTACATTGATAACGACGCGATAATAATACGCACTGAAGATTTGTGTTAAGTTTCTGTCCAACGAATAATCTTTGCTGATATTAGTATCATCTTATGTTGTCACACAACCTTGAACTAATGTGCTTTATATTCAATGAGTTACGAAAAGACTAATCTACGAAAATTAATTTCATGACCTATAACGCCTGACCATCGAAATTGAATTATGAAAAAATGTGTAGTCCTTAATATTTTTCAATTTTTCTCAATAATATTTTTTTGGTACCATTAATAGTTTTGCATTTGTATTTTGACAATTATACTCTTGAAAAAATATACGTAACACAACAATTGTGAAGTAAACATCTTTACAACGAGGAAAATTCAGCTATGATAAGATGGAAAAAGAAACAAATGTAGCTCACTGATTCATACACAACAGGAAAATCCATGGAGGCTGTATCTTCGAATTCAATTATTCCCATATACTGATAAAGATATCGTATCACTATTATTGCACGTATTTATAAAGAAATTTACGCGTGAGAGGAACGTTGCGTGATCTCAAAGTTTCCTAGTATTATCAGAAAACGTGTCGTAATGCTTCCAGACATACGGGGGAATTAATTATTCAAATAAAACTGTATGTTTCTAATCTACTAACGGAAATAACGTATATACGTTAATAATGTGGTTTATGCATGGAATAAATACGATTCCATTTAGTGTTACCATTATTAAAAAAAGGGTTCATTCAACCCTTTGATGTGAAATTTAACTCCCTCCAAAACTTTTACAATTTTTATAAAGAATAAATATATCTCGAAAATGCAAAAAAATTGCATTCTGTTAACACAAGTGCACACATTCTTACATGAGTACGTTAAAAACAATTTTTTTTTGAATAATCAAATTTCTTTTCTTGTAAGTCGAAACGTAAATATAACCGAGTGTGAACCTCGTTGCTTAATTTATCTATATTACTATGTGTACATGTTTGTATTCAATAACCTCGGGAATCACTTAACGAATTTAGATAAAACTTTCACTGAACTTTATCATGGACCAAGGCTTGGGCAAAAAATAAATATACAAACAAAGTTTCGTATTTGTGTACTGCACTAAAACAATGTATCAGGGGTTGAAGGGATTTTTCATTTCCAAAGTTACATAATTCCTGGTAAAATACAAACTATGAAGTATCTTTGAGTGTTACAAATAATATGAAGCTTTTTAAAAAATTTTAAACAAACTTCCCGATAGGCAAAACAAAATAAGAATTCAGAAATCCCTGAATCTTGAAGAATTGAAAATTACTGCAGAGTCCAAAGAGCAAAAGACGTTCGAGGGGATTGTTTCATCCTGAGAGTTTATGCAATTGTTCTATTAGTGAAAGAAAGTGATCAATATGAAGAAACAGGGTAGAATACGCATTATTCCTTGTTTTACGCAATCTGGGATAACGTATCATCGTACGGCCTCCAAGACATTTACGACATGTTTTCAAGTAAACGTGACGTAGCGATAAACAACGCACGCAAACAGTAGACGTATAAAAGCCACCTAATAATCGAAGAACTTACTACTCTCGGTTTAATCGTGACCGAATAACGTTTGTGTTTACTTCTGAGACCATTGACAGTGATTTTAAAATATATTTTCCAGTGTGCCACACCAGCGGAATCGAAAATGGCGAGACACGTCGTGATAAATCTCCTGCTCGTTTGCAGTCTATGTGGTAAATATCACGGTTATGTATTTTAATTTCCTTACGGCTTAATTTTGATTTCTGATCGCGAACAATATGATCTTGACACTTTGGTAGAGACGAGCTATTTTACAAATTCTATCACGACAGGTGGCTACGATATTTTCTTAGTGCACTTGTAATTGCAATTTGAATTAACTAATTTGATTTTCTTTGCCACGAAAGTGATGTTTACAGATTTATCAGCGTCTCTGAAGATCGTGAAAGGTATCCATGCTATCGAGAACGTCGTGACTAACGTGGTCGAAGATCTCATCGCGGATCTGACGATGTTGGACGACGACAACAATCCCGTTCACATAGATCTGAACTTGAACTACCCCGAAACTGCCGCGGAAACCAAGCAAAACTTGCACTACACTGTCTTCTTTTACTTGTACACGAAAAACAACCGGGACAATCCTGAAAAACTGTTCGTCGATGACGTCGACGTTTTGAAGAAAAGTCAATTCGATCCGAAGAGGCCAACGAAATTTGTCACGCACGGATGGATAAACTCTTTCAGGAGCGCGGCTTGCGTCGAAGTTCGCAATGGTACGTGTTTATTTTGAATGTTGGAAACTCCATTAGGCCTCAGAAATTCTTTAAAAAAATTCTGAAGACACGATCGTGCGTAACAACTTAAAATTTTCGAGTAATTGAAAGTCGTTGAGTGAGAAAAGTAAGAATTGACATTTCTGTGAAACATAGGTATTAATTCGGTGCTTCTTGTCTTTTGCAGCTTTACTCGAACACGATGACTACAACGTCATCGTGGTGGACTGGTCGTCGATATCGTTAAAGCCATATATCTGGTCCAGTAACCGAGTCGTGATGATCGGACAGTATGTTGCGTCCATGATCGATTTCCTCGCGGAACAAGGAATGGACGTATCCGAAACGACCACCATCGGCCACTCTCTTGGGGCCCATGTAGCTGGTTTGGCAGCCTATTACGCGAAAGGCAAAGTAGGATACGTTGTCGGTACGTTCGCCCAGTCATACTGATCTTAATTCACGGCGCTGTTCATCGATTGTAACAGATAATTACGCTGGTGCAGTAAATCGTCATAGAAACGTTAGGGAAACAGTTGTCTACTCGTCCTTACGACTCTCGAGTCTAAAAGCAAGTAGAAACTATGAGCAATGGACAGACGCGTCGGAAAACTTCTACTTCATAATTCTCGAAGTGGAAATTCATTCTGCTTCGATCATCTCGAAATTGGTACAAGCTAGATCTCCTTTTGCAGGTTTGGATCCCGCTCTGCCTAACTTCCAACTAGCTGGCCCGGGCTCCAGGATCTCCCATAACGACGCGAGATACGTGGAGATCATCCACACGAACGGGGGTCAACTAGGTTTCAAAAGTCCGCTGGGGGACAGCGACTTCTATCCGAACGGCGGCAACTCGCAAGCAGGATGTCTGTTGGCTTTTCATAGCGCGTGCTCGCACTTGCGCGCCTTCCACTTCTACGCCGAGTCCATCAATAGCAAATTAGGTTTCCACGCGGTGCGTTGCGACAGCTACGCGAATTTCGAAAGGGGTAAATGCGACTCGAACCCCGTCGCTCTCATGGGCGGCGCTCGACCGGATGCCACCGCCACGGGCACCTACTACTTGCGCACGAACAAACTGCCTAAGTACGCCCAGGGAAAATTCACAAAGTCTCATTCCGCGGAGAAACACGGCAACGAGTTGTAATTACGACGATACTCAATTTTTTTTATATTAGAAATCAAGACTATCTAATACGGGATGTTCAGAAAATTTTTATTCAGGTTTATTAGGTGGAGATGACTTGTTTGTGTTAAATTTGAGTCTCTTTGTGATTTGTTTGAAACAGTTTCTTCAATTTTTGCACGTAACTGATAAGTGCAAGAGGCAACTGCTATTGATCCTGTATGGAACATCGTGTATGAGTTAGGATTTAATTGTAATATTGATAGTAGAAATCAAGACTATTACTGTAAGTTTTATTACTCATTTGACTATGAATTTATACAAGAAGTAATGGACCCGGTGCCAAAAGAAAATGAAAATTTTTATTTGATTAAGTGGAAATGACTTGTTTAAACTCCTTGTGATTTATTTGAAACAGTTTTTTCAATTTTTTTACGTAATTAATAAGTGCAAGAGGCAACATTAATTCTGTATGAGTTAGGATTTAATTATATATTAGTGATTAGGTTTTTCAATAATCTGCAAGATTCACTGTGTGAATAATACTTTTAACTGACCAATGCTCACGTTGCATATCTTGTCCAAGGAAACAGGAAAACTTTGTCAAAATGATAAGTATCCTGTGTCCTTAATTTAACTTGCGGTATTATATTGTCCACATAAAGTTAACTAATATTAGTAACAATTTTGAACATCGAATTTGTTTGTATAACTCTGTCACAAGAAAACATACAATTTTACTTTTTTTTACAAAATATTGTTGACAAATTGATAAATAAAAAAATCAAAAGTATTTTTTGTTACCCGTGTTATTCATTTTTTGTTTAAACTCTCCGGATTCACACTAATATTTAAGCAAATATCGAACACTACAGTTGCAGAATTCATAAATATCATTTGATAAATTTACATCGAATTTGAATGTGTATTGAAAACCCCGTATTTTAACGTAACAATGTCCGTAAATCTAGCTTTAAGAAACATTCTGGCACCCGACAGGTAAACTATCAAAGTAACACGTCCTAATAAATCGTTCTGGAGACTCTGGATGAATAAACGATAGTCATCGAAGAGAAACAGATTCTGCACAGGGTATACGTTATTCGAGAACAACGAGTTCTTGGTTTGTTGCAACGCAGAAGCAACGAGCTTCTCCGGTTTTGCAAAAGCGCCGGGATACTGGCGTGGCGCGCTCGCGCATGCTAGTTTAGTTGTTTTATAAATAGTTTCCTCACGGCAGTGGGTGGTCCTTTGAACTTTCCCGGGCACAAAAGCAGCTGTGTAGTACGTAACTCAGTGCGTGATTATTACAGAATTATAATCGCGTCAGAACTTGGACAATGTTTAAATGATTAATCACGTTTAACGCGGAATCTGCTGGACGGACCTCCGCGCAAAAGTTCAAACAACGGACTCTGAATGAAAATTAATGTTACGATATTACTTTCAAAGCATCGACCTTGCACCGAGAGGCCAGAAAAATTAATCTTCGGGATTAAATCTTGGGGAAAATAAATCTAAATAGAACTCTAGGGTAGGCTAGTTTAATAATTGTCTGAACACAAAGTTTCGGTCTTCGTGGACAATTCGAGGGTTTATTTTAGTTTCCTAAGTATCGTTACACGTTCGAAAACGAAATGTTTCTTTTATGAAGCTAACATAATTTTGAAGGGGTGAAGGGGTCAAAAGCTGGACCTGTGGCGTCGCCTCACATGCTCGCTACCAGAGGGATCGCGCTCTCGCAAGTGCTCGACCGACCCCTCGGTTGCTATATACACATTCCTCGAACGATTTCCCAATATCCCAGTCGTCTAAGGCAGGAACTGCTAGAAAGCCTTACTGATGAGTCCACTAGCAGGCCCTTTCCTTTTCTGTCCACCTACGAATTTCCCGAGTTCCTACCCGCAGCGAAACGTGATCGATAGAAACGAGAGTAATTAAACGACGTGTGTATGATATAATACCAATAAACTGATATCACCTTGTTTAATTTATTTTGATATAATAGATTTCCAACGCCCATTGAATATTTCTGGTCAGTTACGGTATGCAAGCGTATCGGGTCATCGAGGGGTTAAAGAGATCATCGGAAATTCACCTCGTCGCGATTTAATCGAACACGATCGAACAGTAAATACGTCCTATTGCTAAAACGGGAAACTTCTCGAGGCTGTTTACAGCCTCGTTGACTATAGTGGATTCTTTGTGCGAGGCTGGAAGCCTTCTAGACACCGGAAGCGTGTCACGCAACAGGGAACGAAAGACGCGGCTTTGGGAGGCGTCGAGTCGACGAACGGTTCATTTTCCGTGCTCGCCGTGGGAACAAAAAGCGAAAGAGGCGTTCGACCGGTTGGCGTTGCATGGGTATTCTGCACCGGCTACCTCCGATAAATTCGTCGCGGTGCCCGCGAGCGGAAGAGAAAGAGCCCAGCGGCCGATAACGCGGAGATAAGAGGAAAGGGACGCGCGGAAAAGAGAAGAAAGGGGACAAAGGGGGGCACAAACGGTGAACGTGGACGGCGGACGCGGGTCGGCGGCCATTAATTGGAGTGTCCCACCCACCCCCACCCCCACACCCCCTCTCTCCCCACTCCGCCAACGATGTGATTATTTTCATGACGTTTCGATTCAAATCAAACGCATTGTTAAACCGTGCCTCATTGTGCGCCCTGCTCCAATTTGCAGCTATATTTTACTCCAACGGCTACCAGTCGACGCCTCTGCCGATATGCAGCACGCGTGACTCCAAACAATTCCGTGACATCTAGGAAATGGCCCCGGGACAGCTCGTGGAGCGAGCCCTTTTTCCACACGTTCCAACGTTCCTTTCTTTTTTTCTCCCCTCCTTCGCGCCCCGCCCGCAACGAAACTCGAATACCTGGTGTTAACCCTAGAATACCACGCAGTGCTCCAAATATACTTCGGGTTTAGGACGCGACTGACGAAATTCCGTGTTACAGGCACTCGATACCGGTTCGATTCTCTTTCCTTTTGTTTCATTCTTAATTGATCCAATTTAAATTAAATACACCTCGAATGGCATTGAAAGAAAAATTGCTGTGAATCGATTGCTACGATATTTGAAATTATTCCACGATACGTAACACTAAGGCCTCGCAATTGAACGTAAACATTATGCTTATTTACTCAACTTCAAAACTTAACACACAAAGTAAAAGAAAAATTTCTACAAAATGTGTAGAAATGTAGAAAGCTCTAATTGAATCTACACATGAGACTTTATTACAAAGAATAGAACTTTGTGTTCTCAGTTTGGGTTTGCGGCTATGACACCAATGACACAACCTTTCTTTTCGAGGCAACATGGCGAAAAACCTTGATACAACCTAGCCTGCTTAATTTCACGTCGATAAAATGAAGAACACTTTGTCTAACAAAAACCCAAAGCTGATCGATGCTTCGACGACGAACGTTAGTGCAGAAGATGGTGACGACTCGTTGACGTTTCAATTCCTCTACCGGGATCGTCGAGGGAACAAAACCAGACCGGACGTGATTTATAACCATAACCGGTTAACAAGACTAACCGTTGCTACTAAGTCACAGGACGCGGCGTTGCGAGCCCGACGCACTGCTTTGCTCCGTTAACAAGCAAAAACGTTCCGCGACAAACGAGTCCCGGGCCAGGTCGTTGTCTTTCTTCACCCGGCAACGATTTCACGAGGGGAAACGTTAATTAAACCCGCGCCCTGGCGATTTCATGCCCCCTTCCGGTTCCCGGTTACGTTACCGTACCTGACTCTGTCCCGATCCTCCGTCACGCATTTGCGTTTATTCATGCCGCGGACCCGTGATCCGTTCGCCGTTCGATTTCCACCGACAACGGTGCCATTCATCCGGCGTTCTATCTGTCTCCGATGGCGAACGGAAAAAAGAACGCCCGGAAATTCTAACCGTCTGCTGTTCACCTAGCCGGCACGAAACTTTCGCATCGATCAACGAACGCCAGGCTACGTCGTGCTTTCTTCCGTCGCGTAACAGTGACTTACAGACCGTTTCGGTAACCGTGCTCCGATTGGCGCTCTAACTGGCGCGAAACGACAATTAAGAGGGGAAAACTCGTGTAAAATGGCAACGAGAAGCGATATTTGACAATTTTTTTGCAGCATAAGGATTTGATGACAATTTCCAAAATAATCAACGATTGAAAATGGAAGCATTCAGTAAATTCCTAGTTACTTCAGTAAGTTTCCTCGAAAAAAAAAATTCATATTTTTATTAGTAGAATTATTGAAATGGGAGCTTTGTAGAAAGTTGTCTCAACCCCTAAATGTAATAATACGTGTCTTTAAGTGTTTCTTATATTTTTGAATATTAAGTGTATTCTGTAGTTTCTTGAAAATTAAAATTTCTCATAAATGTCTATATCCGCTTTCTTTGCTCGTGGATTTCACTTATATAGAATACGAAAATATTTACAAATCAAGTTTTACAGTAGGAGACTCCCTTAAGGGGAGGAGACTCGTGTAAAATGGCAACGAGAAGCGATATTTGACAATTTTTTTGCAGCATAACGATTTGATGACAATTTCCAAAATAATCAACGATTGAAAATGAAAATTTCCTCGTAACTGGATTGCTGATGTTTATACAAATTCATATTTTTATTAGTAGAATTATTCAAATGAGAGCTTTGTAGAAAGTTGTCTCAACCCCTAAATATAATAATACGTGTCTTTAAGTGTTTCTTATATTTTTGAATATTAAGTGTATTCTGCAGTTTCTTGAAAATTAAAATTTCTCATAAATGTCTATATCCGCTTTCTTTGCTCGTGGATTTCACTTATATAGAATACGATAATATTTACAAATCAAGTTTTACAATAGGAGACCCCCTTAAGAGGAGGAAACTCGTGTAAAATGGCAACGAGAAGCGATATTTGACAATTTTTTTGCAGCATAAGGATTTGATGACAATTTCCAAAATAATCAACGATTGAAAATGGGAGCATTCGGTAAATAGTTTCCTCGTAACTGGATTGCTGATGTTTATACAAATTCATATTTTTATTAGTAGAATTATTCAAATGGGAGCTTTGTAGAAAGTTCTCTCAACCCCTAAATGTAATAATACGTGTCTTTAAGTGTTTCTTATATTTTTGAATATTAAGTGTATTCTGTAGTTTCTTGAAAATTAAAATTTCTCATAAAAGTCTATATCCGCTTTCTTTGCTCGTGGATTTCACTTATATAGAATACGAAAATATTTAGAAATCAAGTTTTACAGTAGGAGACCCCCTTAAGAGGAGGAGACTCGTGTAAAATGGTAAAAAGAAGCGATATTTGACAATTTTTTTACAGTATAAGAGTTCAATGAAACTGTTCGCCACTTTCCATGTCTATTCTTTAATATTTCAAGATAAAAATATTTTTTTTTCGTTACGTTTTATCGACTTTGAATGAAATAATAAATAATAATGATGGCGTTAGTCGAAAGTGCAGTCTACCATTTTTTCCTTTGATCTAGAGTAAAACATCGAACGACATTCTATTCATAATAGTACTACGCGTCGTATGAACTAAAATCCTCCTCAAAAAATGCAAAATTGTCGAAGATACACAGCTCTGAACACAAAAAATGATTCTTGCAATAAATGTCTAATTTAATTATGCCATAAACATGAT